AATATTCAAATTATCAATACATCTCCCACGAACAGCATCATATGAGCAACCATTGACCTGAAAATATTTCAATAATTATTAATTGAATCTTACTTTGACACAAACAATTATTATGCAGTTCAACGTTCAGTTAACTACAGTAACCTGATAATTAATAAACCAAAAGCTTAGCTAATTATAACTTTAAAAAATTCCTTCATTTTATTGTATGCCAATCTTAATTTTTCTTCGCTCAAATAGTCTATCTTTTGCATAATTTATCACTTTTAAAGAAATTGAAATTCAATTTTTAAACAGATAACAATTTACATTTGTACAATTAAGTCACAAAATAATTATTGATTTGATCGTTTAACCTCAAATCGGTTTTTATCGTTGAGAATATTTGCTGCAAGTAATTTTGTACTTAAGTCGTTCATATTATTAGCAGTATTTACAGTTGCAAATCTTGAATTACTCATAATCTGATCAATAAAGTTTGATGGCAATCGAGGATTTATTCCTGAAGTCATTCCACTATACGGCATGAATATTTGTGGATTCACTTCTGAAATATTTTTAATCCGAATTAAAAACAAATTTAGTAATGATAATATTAATATTTCTGTTAATAATAACAATAATAATAATATTATTATTAATATTAATATTGCCATTAACAGCAATTTTTCATATTTTGATACTATTATGGTACAAATTTTCATATTTTTGAAACATAATAAATTTTTGAAAACCAAAATAAATTTCTTAAATATTGCAGTAAGAAAAGCCTTAAAATTGGAATGAATACCTGGTATGTAAGGTTGCATATTATGTTGTTGAAGCTGGTAATTTGGATATAAGTTCCACTGTCCAGTAGCTTGCTGGCAAGGAAGTCCAGTTATTATCATATGTGCGCAATTTCCATTATATCCTCAAGTTAATCCAAAAGATTAGTAGGAAATGAACTTGATTTTTGATAAACTTATATTTCTGTCAAAGTGAATTCTGTTTTTATAAATATTTTTCATTGAAAATTTGTGATTCTAAACACTGATTTTCTAACTTGGCTTACAGAATTATTAGTGCTGTTTTGCTTTAAACAAAGCTATCTTGAAATTCGATTATAAAGCAATAAAATTTTGAATTTATGCTAAAATTTAACCAAAAATACAAAGTTTTCAGTATCCAAAGTAACAGAATCCGTATAAATAATTTAAAAAATACCTTGATATGGTGAAGGAATGTAAATATTCTGTGGATATGTTTCATATGGATTCCAAATTTGACCAGTGGTCACCATAATTAATCCAAGAATTATCAAATTTTGCATATGCATTGCAGATATTTTGATACAATTATGACGAGAAAACTGAAATGTTTAAATAAATATTAATAGTTTACAGTATCAAACTTTTAATTCTTTTTGAGTACACAAACACAAATTTCAAATAAATTTTTATGAGTGAGTTCAATTTACAAAATTCAAAATGATAACTGACAACAGTCAATTTTGGATGTGAACTTTAATTATAACTATTTTAGCAATAATTTTCTGGAATAATTGAATAATGCAACTACTGGAAAAGCTAAAAACAAGTAAATTAAAAAAAAGTAGCGTAAGGAAAAAGTATAAATTTTTATGAGTCAGTTTAATTTACAAAATTCAAAATACGTTTATTCCCTTTAAATTGAAAAGTTTTGGGTCAAAACAAAGTTTTAACCGACCTTCAACAATTAAAAATGTCATACACGTGAACAAAGCAAATATTCATTTCACTCAAATGTCAAATTCAAAAAATAAAATGCATAAAATACTAATTGCAATACAAAGATTTTCTGATTTTCGCTTAAGTGATAATAAATTTTTAAAATTTTACGTCAATATAAATTTAAATTGAATTTTAATTCTTAACCATTTTTTTTGGTTACTTAAAAAATATTTTTCAAAGTAAGAATGATCAGAATTTCGAGTAAATACAATTTTTGTGCCATTTGTGAATGAGTATAATTTTAGTATGAATTTTGAATTGATAGAAAAAAAAATGGCACACTGAAAAAGTAAAACGTTAAGTTAAATACTAACTAATATTCATATAAAAGTTTTTTACCTTGCATGAGTTCATTTTGACTTCTATGAAGGTCAAATATTTGGTTCATAAAATTGTGCTTTGAAATTTTCACATTGACCTTGTTTTAAAGTGATTGAAATGCAAATAAGTTGTACACTACAAATTATTTTCTCAAAAAAAAGAATTATATTCTTTAATATATCTTTACAAATTTTAACTTCATAATCATTTTGCATTTACTCAAAATATAAATAATTATATTCATGCAGAAATATTTTTGCATAAAATTAAATACGCATTCCAAATGACCTTCCAATATAAAATTCAAAAAAAATGCAGATTTAAAAATAAATTCATTTCAAATTTCATTACTAAATTCAAAATCACTTTTAATTAAATCAAATGTTTAGTATCATTTTTCAATTATTTTAAAGCATGACTTATTGATTTACTGACTGATAAAATTGTTTTAGCTAATTAACAAAAATAGATTTAATTGAAAATAAATTTAAGTAAAAAGTATACCATGAATTAGTTTTAAAATCAGTGAATTAAAATTTTAACACTTAAAATAAGCATTTTTATGTATTATTTGTCTATGATATTCGAGGAAATCATAGAAGTTTATATTTATTGAGCACCTTGGAACTTACTTGATCGCATCCGAGTAGATCAATGTCAACTTGAAAGAATAAAAGTTTGTAACTTCCAAAGGTTCAAGAGGAACGTTGAGTTGTTTATGAAGTTTACAAATTATTAATATATTTTATCAAAATTTATTAACTGTATTTCATATTAATCAGATTAATCATATTTTATAATTTAATAATTTCAAATATCATTTTCGGAATAAAATTTGCATGAAATTACTGTGCATTACAATGTTGCAATGAATCAGTTTCATTTACAAGAAAACGTCTAATTCTCCAAAATACTGACAAGTAACGTCCAGAAAATATTGTCAAATGGTTAGCGTGATTTACAAATAGTGGTGTAACAGCACGTGGAAATCTTTTAAGTAACATTTCACTATGATCTGGTGGTATTACATCGTCGAATTTACCATGACAAATTAATACGGGAACGTTTACTTCTGCTGCCATTTCATAGCTATAAGTTAAAGTGATATAGTTAAAAAAACAAGTTATTATTATGAAAAATAACAAGTATAAAATATTATTATCAGTCTTTGATAATAGTACTTAAAGAAATTTTTTTTAATTATTGAATTTAAAATTCAAAATTGGCAAGTTATATTTTAAAATTAAGTTGTACTGATTGAAGAAAAAATAATAAGTACTCAAAAAAATCAAAACTGCATTTAAAATTAATTCAAAATCAGTCGAAAACAAATGCTTTAAGAATAATAGTTCAAATATAAAAATGAATAGCCAGATATCAGATACTAAATACTCATAATTAGATATATTAAAAATGTTTTTAATATATCTAATTGACTTATAGCTGTGTTACTGTGATGCTTTTTGCTCACACAAGAGTAAAACATGTGCTTGATTTTTTACTTAAAAATTTGCATAATTACTTTAAAAATCTATCCATGCAGCATCCTTGAGCTCGTTTTGTGTACAGTCTCAAAGCAGATGCCAATGGTGCCACAAGTATGACACCACAAAGATTTTGTGGGTGCTTTGAAGCCATATGAACTGTAGGTACTGTACCAATACTGTAACCAAGCAATGCAATCTAAAAATCAGTGGTGAAATGGAATAGCAAATTATCTTACTTGTTGTTTATTATTTAATGCATATATTACATGATAATATCCAAGTAATTTCTAAAAATAGAATGAAATATATGCATAATTTTTCCAATTTCATACTGTCAACCAAATTTTTTCCTTCTGATTTATCTTTATAATATTGTTTATTAATTTCAGTATTTAAGTATATCATTAAAAACATTAAATTATCAAGTTGGATAAAGGATAAAAACAGCTTATCTAACTTTTTGTAAAAAATTTATTTTAAAAATAACACTTAATAAAATTACAAAATACTTTAATATACAAATTTGAAAAATCTTACACGAACATTAGGTCCTTCAGTTTCAAAAATATGCTTATATGCAGCTTCAATATCGCTGTAAATATTTTTCTCAGAAGGAGAACCAGTGCTTATACCATATCCAGAATAATCATAAGCATATACGGTAACTTGCAATAAATCAGAAATATTTCTGGAATAATCATGATATTACTATAATTTCATGCTATAAAAACGAAAATTTTCATAATTAATCAGTAATAAATGATTATATTAGCTAAAAGTTTGCTTTTTTTCTGTGTAGCAAAACAATGCTAACAATATCAATGAGATTATAATAATCAAAAAACTAAATATTCAAAAATTATTCTAGTAATATTATTGTATGATATAATTGCTTACTAATTACTAAAACTGATAGATAGATTATCAAGATTTGGAACAGAATGATTAATCTGTATTAATTAACATGTATTTACCTCAAATTGATTCCGTGTGGTTGAAAATAGCAACCTAAATCAGAACTGTTTGGTTGTGAAAACAACACGACCTAAAAAAATAACAATTTTAATGGTCTGAAATAAAAATATAATCTGATCAAAAATAATGACAAAAGTGAGTTATTCAAATTTTCTATGCAAAATGAAGTTTTACAAAATTATCTCAATAAATATGCAAAATTTACTTGGCAATTGAAGCCAGTTGCTAACATTTCATTATGTAAGCAAATACATTCAAATTTATTTTAAAAAAATTCAAATTTAAGCAATTTTGCAATTTTCAAATTTTTTTATTAATAATAAATTATTATAAATATATTTAAATTAAAGTTAAATATATAAGCAATTAAAAATTATAAAATTAAACAAAAATAAGCGTTAATTTTTAATCAAATAATTAATCATTTAAAAAGTGGAATCAGTCTAGGAAAAAAATTCCAAAATGATTACTATTTTTTCATGATTTTGAATTAAATTAACTTTAGATGATTATGATAAAAAAGAGTACCAAATTTCTAGTTTCATCATTTTCATCCCAAATTGGATTTAATTTAATTTTTAAAATTGGTAAATACGAGCCACGTTTAGTTTTAATAATTGAAGTTTGAATACTTCGTGTTGAAAGTGGCCGTCCTTCCATCAATATTTGTGGTTCAAATTTTAGTGATGTTAATTTAGATGCCTAAAATTTTAAATTTACCTTCATTTTGTTTTCTTTTTTTTACAAAATATTCTAGTTTTGTCAACAGTTAATTACTACAGCATACTACTATAAATATAGTAATTTTTTTTGGCGACATGTTCTTTTAATAAATTCTAAACATTCTTAATTAAATTAATGGGACATGAAAAAACAATTTCTGATTTAAACTTTACGATACTACCTTTTTTGCATTTTTTACTTTCACGTTATTTCCGTGGATATCCACGCCACTCACCACATATGTTTGCCCTTTATCTAATGGATGAAATGCTAATTTTCGTGCAATTATTTCCGGTACAGGTGGACAACAAAATATATAGCAAAGTATGCCCGTGCACTAAAACCTTCTATTATTTACTAAAGTTTAATGTCATGTTTACCATTATTATAATATGCAAATTTTTGCCATTGTAATTAAATATTCAAATTTTTTTTCAATTTGTTCCGACAATTTTTTAGAAATGCAAAAAAAAATAATGTCTTAATGTTAACTTTTATCCAAATTTTATCGTTGCAAAAACTATTTTCATATTACTATCGTTAATGACTAATCATTATATCTAGTTTTTATTTTTCAGTATAATCGCTGTACAACTTTCTTTAAGTAATAAAGTAATAAAGAAAGTTGTACAGCGATTATACAACTTTCTTTATTTCTTTATTCGCTGTACAATTTTCTTTATTTTCTTTTTTAAATAAATGATGAAAATATAATAGTACTAACCAAATATTACTCAACTTCCGAGATTACTGATTAATATGAGATTATTGAATATGTTTACTTATGGTATCTTTCCCATACATAATTATTAATAATTTTCATAATAATTAATAATTACGAATGTTGACCTTAAGAAGTACCACGCAAAACTTGCAGCATCCATATCCATGCCGTTCAATTCCTTTCTGCTCACTTCCTTCCGATTCCAAATTTGAATTTGCCCGATAAATTTGAATAGTTTCTTTTTCTTTATCATCGATTAATCGACAATCCTTTAATTTATGCAAATCCCTATTCTCTTTAAAATATCAAGAATTCCGCAAATGGATTAAGAATTTACAAACCCCAATGAAATTGAATTTAGCACAAATTCTGTTTCGAACGTGATAATTTTGTACTCGGAATGATTTATTTATTTGTGCTATATGGTAATCATCTAAAGTTCTGAAGTATTATTTATAATACATACGCTTTTCGAACGAGGTACACGTAAACTCAAAGAACATCCTTTTAATGAATTATTCCAGTTACTTTTATGCGAAGATTTCTGACAATCAGACGGTTTCTGTAATAATTCATTCATTCGTAAGCAAAACAAGCTTTTACTTCAATATATTATCCACATATAACTTACACTATAATATTTAGACACACGGCAAAATTTTGAATATCCGATGTGCAATTGAGTCTTTAGAAAAATTAGCTATTGATGTTATCAGTGAGCAAATATAAGACAATAACTAACAAAACAAATCTATATACCAATCCAAGATGCCATGTAACGTTTGTTCATAATTTTCAGAAGATTTTATTACCTATAAACTAACTTACTTTGTTACTTAATAAATGTTACCTACAGAGATCGATAAATAACTAATAAATACACTCTCTTGCTACTTTTAATTTAAGCAGTAATAAAATGCTCTCTCCCACTATTAACTTAAGCTCTTTTTTTACCTCAAACTGTCAATTAAATATGCTCTTATTTCTATCTGATCAATCAACAAATAAATCTCTAATTACACACCTCTAATTATAGTAGAGAAAATTTTGTAAAATTCTGACTTCCTTTAAATACTAGACTGATAAACTGTCGCATTTCAAATGGAAAACGAAGTTCCCTACCGCCAATACTAAAATATTTTGCAGTGCATGAATTAAACAATTCATGTAATTACTACACAAAAGATAAACTGAATTTAAATCGTTTTTGCACGTTCAAATTATACACCGAGGCAGTAACAGCAGTAGCATGGTTAGACTGATCGTCCTCATCGCCAGTAGTACTTGGTGTTGAATCCTCCAATTTTAAATCCAGACCCTTGTTGACAAGAGTATTATCCATCTATGATTTTCTACTACCCTCATAAATGCACCTAATTCAAGGTAGATAATACAAAACCTTCACAACTAACAATACACTCTACCAAAATTTTCGTCCTTATATGAAAATTAAAATGAACAAAATTTAAATATACAAAAATACTACAGCTACCATTAGGATGACAAACAAATGCAGATCTACCAAAATATTATCAGTGCCCGTTCCTCACACTTATATAACAATTGTATAGAAGCATCATTTTTCTTGTCTTTAATGCTTCAATAAATAACAACAACTGACACAAGTATTTAGCCGTAATTTCTATTAAATTAAATAAACAATCATAACAACTATGCCAAAAAGGATAATGTATTATATGTCTTTAGTAGATATCAACAAGGATTTTTTCTAGGCAACTGAAAATTAGTCTGATAAATTAGATATCGTAAAAAGATGCAAGATAAAATAACTAAGCAAAAAATGTTACATATTTATTGCAAAAACAGTTGCCAATATAGCAGACTGCAGTAACATTACTACCATATTTCCTACTACTAAAATTTTTATTCTATAAAAATCATTCATTATCGAATAAAAAATGAAATTCTGATCAGTTGGAAATTTACTAGCTGCAAAATTATTTTCTCAAATTTGAACATATTTTTTTCCACAGCTTAATTAATATTAAACTAAAAACATAATAGTTACAATAGCAGTTAATATTATTTGTTCCACTATAAAATTAATTCCAGTCCTAAACATATTGCGACAAGTACAAAAATGCAAATTCATGGAAGATCATTGAAGAGGTTAAAGGTAAAAACAAATTTTTCAACAATAACATAAGAGAATAATAACAACTAAACGTGAGCAAAATATATTCCTTTGATTCTAAGATGGCAGTCCAAAAATAATACTTTGGTATGCCAAAATAACAATTTAAAAAAGTTTGCAAAAACTGAAATAAATTATACAAAAGACATATCCAACATAAAGTATTACAGTAGTTATGTATACTACTGCAAGATTATAAATTAAAAACACCCAAATAAGCAACCCAACCCTTCTCGTTTTCTTTGATTGCAGATCAAATTTGTATGGCTTACTGAAATACTGCTTTAACAAGCCGTTTTGTGTAATAATTGCTGTCAACTTTATATGTTAAATGCATTGTTTCTGTGAAACAATGAATGGGTGGTACTCAGTGATAGATGTATTTATCAAATAAAGTCAATTAAGGCTGACAATTTTTTTTCTCATCAGAGGAAGAAATTTGAATAAAAACAAGAACTAAATACGGTGGAAAGCTAGATAAGAGAATGAGAAAGAACAACAGAATAAGAATAATCTTGTTAACCACAGCTCCAGTAAAAAAACAATAAGTCAATTTTTTCGGGAAAAAGGGAAAAGAAAAAAAAAACAGAAAACAATCTCAAGACCAGATAAAAGTTTAACAATGTTTTTGTTGTCTGCTGATGAATGCTTCCCATGCTGCATCACGATAACGACGTATTTGAGTATTGATATCTGGTACGTCAGTGACTGCTCTTCCTACGACTACTATGTCATTTCCATCTCCACTGATTGCTTTTTCGATTGTACGCCAATTTTGACCTATCCCATCACTTACTGCATCCATATGCACACCTATAAACTTCCCAAAACCAACTGTGCCATCAGCAGAGATATTTTAAATAAAAATAATAGTTACATCAAAATACTTTTAATTTTTACAAAAAGATTTTTGGCAATTTTCAAGATTACACAGAAACAAATTGAGAATCTGATCATTAAAAAATTTAGCTCTACAAACTATACAAGTTTCAAGCTTAGACAATTTTGTATCACAAGCTTGACAGTCACCAGAACAATTTTTCGTGTGCTACTTACTGCCTAACACAACTAATGTTTATAGACAAAATTAGGCCATTACTGCTTCGTACCTGCAGTCCAGTGTAGAAAACCTGGTATATTAGCACAACGCTTTTGACACATAAATCCACTAACAATATCTCCATTGTTTTTTGCCAAGTCCAATGCAGCTAAAACTTTATTTGAATGATATTTACAGGTCAATATCTGATACCAACAAAAAACTCTTCGCATTTAATACAAGATTGTAATTTATGTATTTTTTTTTAAATCGGAAGCTTAACTTTTTTTTCATACCCTTTACACATTCAAAGAATCATTCTCGAAAAAATGTAATGATCTATTTTCTTCTGATTTTCGAGTGGCGGAAAAAGCCAAACTATTGATAAAATGATAACTCACCAACCTTTTAAATATTCGTTCGAATTCGTAAAAGCTCCTTCAGAACTTAATTCTACAACTAATAAGGAACTGACGAGTTTAGTAGTTGATCCATTAATAACCTTAAATATAGTGTGTGATACTGGTTCTTTAAATTTATTTTGCATATAACTAATCACACTCGAACTTTAGTGATAGAAGTGGCATTTATACCATAAAAATATGAGATTCAATTTTAAAAATGAAGTAAAAAAGGAAACTTACAACCACAAACTAAACTCCATAAATTGTCGATAACATTTTATAAAAGTATCATTTTGTAATAAGAAACTCAAAAGGAGAACTTGAATGCAGTGAATGATTACCTTGCGTATGATGTTTAGAACAGACTGCCCAGAAAGTGCATGCACCGTGACAACTTGTGCCCATGAAGCTATTTTAAAGGGGCCCTTGGTTAATTGTAAATTTACCGTGTGACCGATATCAGCAAATTTTCTGTAACATAGCACGAAAAATTGATTAATAATTTTAGCAACTGGGAAATTTTAAGCTTGAAATTTATTACGATAGTAACAAGATTTGGAAAAATTCCTTTCATACAATAAAACACACTGTAAAGAGTTTGTTTTAGTTTTTTAATTTTGTACATTTTAGAGTTGTTTGTATAAGCTTCTTTTTAATTAATGAAAACCTGCTTGCACCTGTCTTCCATAATGATGAAATCGCCACTGTCAGCCATTGCTACAAGTTTTTGTACGAAATCAGGTGTGAAGTTTTCGATCACATCAGCATGAAGCTTAACAGCACATATATAATCGCCTGTCTTCTCAAGGATTTGCAAAATTTGATTACAATCAGTACTGTCGATTGCAAGACAAAGGCAAGTTTTTTTCTAAAAAAAATTGACATTAACCTGAAGCTACAGTTTTGTATAAACTAATTTTATTAAGGTCATGATATAATAACCTCTTATGGACTATAAACAATATGAGTAAAAAATAACCCTATTCATTATGTCGAACATCTTTTTATTGAAAGGATTTTGCGTAGAATCTCTTCTTGATTTTAATGACCATTCACCATTATAATCAACATTCTCTATAGTAAGTGGTGGTGGAAGTGTCAACTGATATAAAATGTCTTCTTTCTTTTTGCGTGTAATTGTGCCAACATCAATCAGAAAATCGAGTATTTTGTTCATATTCAATAAACTGTTTCAAAGAAATCAAAATTATCATGGGTTTAAAAAAATAAGAAGAGATAAGCTATTATGAGATATTATCCATCTAAACTAAAACAACTTTAAAAATTTTTCTGCTATAAGAAAATATTTAGAAATTCCTGATTGGCATATTAGAATATATGAAGCTTAGACACAAGCAACAATGATCACAGATTCTGAAATAAAAATCCACCTATATAAAGTGGTTCCTTCAGCTAAAAGATAGGCTGGACCACCTTGCTCTCGATCTAAGACGCATATGGCTTCGTCACAAACCAAACCTTCATTGCGCAATGAAACTACTGTTTCTAAGATACTTCCACCTAAGATTAATTCACAAATAAAAGAGAAGTAAGGAATATACTGCTTTTCCATTTTAATCAAGTTGGTGAAATAGGGGCTAACGCAATTCTGAACTGATCTTTTCGGTTAACAAAATAAGCAAAATTCTCTCATATTAATAGCAATTTTCTGGTTACAAAAAGTGTTTATTCAAAAATTTAAGGAATAAGCAGAACCTGAAGTCACAACATCTTCAATTATTAGTGCGCGTTTTCCTGGTTCATAAATACCCTCAATCAGTTTTTTCGTTCCGTATGATTTCACCTCTTTACGCCGCAACAACATAGGTTTTCTTAGCCGATTAGCAATGATATGAAATAAAATGACAAAATAAAGATAAAATTACCAAGTTTCAATTAAAACTGACTGATACTTTTTACTCAGTTCAGAAAGATAAGAAGCAAATGTCAAAAAAAAAATTCAATAATAAGATTATACCGTAGAGAGTGGAAGTGCTGCATATGGCACGCCGACAATATAATCATATTTTAAATCCCTCATTTCAATTACATCACACACGCATTTCGCTGTAAATTCCTAGAATTAAAACTAAATTTGCTGACAAAAAAGTTTATAAGTTTCATTAACACTTGATATTTGAATTTCTAATTTTACCAAAATAAAAGTGCTCGCTATCATTTTTTTCATCATTAATGTGATAAATTTTTTATTTACAGAAATATATAAACAGAATATGTAATACGATATCGCAAATAGAATGTTATAAACTTCTGAAATGATTACGACAGAATAAAGTTGTGAAGTCAAAATGTTATATAAACTAATAACTAACAATGCTCCAAATTTTCATAACGATATTTAACAAACTTACTAGCACTTCGGGTGATGTGAAGATAACTCGCAAATCAATGTAAATAGGAGTTATCTGACCACTCTTCAGAGTGAAGCTTCCAAGTTTGAATACTCCTACGCTTTCTAACTTTTCTATTAACAATCGTTCATTAACCATATCACCAGCAGCCTGTGACATTTTTTTTAATCTAAAAGCCATCAAAGCCATAAAATTTTAATTTTTTTTCCTGCATATCCTACTTTTGAGAACTGAAGCTCAATTAACAGTAGTGAATTTTAAAAATAAACTTTAAAATACGCACTTCTATACTTCTCTTTCTATATAGAAAGAGAAGTGATATATAGTGTCAAGCATAAAAATTATTTTATTTAGTGATTTGACATACCTCACGTACGTGAGGTACGTCAAAATCATTAAACTTCGCATACACACAACGTGAAATACGTCAATAATCTTAAGTCATACAGATAGAAATTATCTCTTAAAAAACGCTTTTAGTTTGGATTTCTTGGATTACAACAAAGAAGAGTGACCTCAAGAAAGTATGACCTCAGATAAATTTGTAACTTAGACAAAAAAAGTCAGGATGAAAAAAATCAGCCTAGCTAAGAGTAATCAAGGGCCTAGACCGAGACTTTCCTAGTAAAGTCTCACAATGTTTGCCTTATTTGAAACAAATTAAGAACGGACATTACTAAGAAAGTAGGCTGAATTGTAGCACCTGAGAAATGGAGAGTGAACGGAGGTATTTATTTCAGAAGTATTTATTAGCAGTCTTGACTATTATGCAAACGACCAGAGAAGAGAGAAAGACTGAAAAGATACATAGATGGACGGACAGACAGATTGATAGATACGGAGACAGACAAACAGATAATAGATAGACGGATAGGCAGACAGAGGGTTGAATGAGTGAATGATTAATGGATGATGAATGTTGAATAATGAATGAATGAATGAATGAATGATTGAATGGATGAATGAATGAATGAATGAATGAATGAATGAATGAATGAATGAATGAATCGTGAAGGCAAGACAAGACCTGTGACCTTTGGAGATTTTCAAACCAAGTTTTTCGATCATTTTCAATAAATCATCAAAGTATATCATTGGTAGTGCTTAAAAACTTTCCATAATTTTCTCTGTTTAAGGGAGAGTGATAGATAGATCGATGGGACTATATGTGGTAGTAAAAATTATTTACTAATTTGATAAGTATATATTTTTGATAATAAATTTTTTATCACACTAATCTCTGATAAGCATAGCGGAGATGTGACCTCTGTGACCTGGTGATAACTCGTTTGAATTAAATTCCTGTAAATTTAAAAAAAGCCTAGAAGAAGGACTTACAATCGGTAATTAAAAAATTTGAATAAATTATTAGTAAAGTCATAAAAGTAAACGAAAAAATAATATTACAATTTTTGTAAAAATCACAAAACATAATTATCGAGCATTAAGTCTATATAATAAGAGAGTTAATTAGATGATATTAAGAGTAAAACTCGTTACATCTGAAAGTATGTTTGCAAGGTCAAGAAAAGTCTTTTTCTCACTTTCAGTTTGTGTTCACGTAAAAAAATTTGATCCACTTACGTGAGAAATTATTCGCTTCTAACCATAAATTTAAAAAGTTGCGGATAAATTCAACTTGTTAGCGTTATGATTATTACTTTGAACGTATTGTGTAGTAGGTTTTTGGTGTGGTATTAATTGTAAGACTAAATAAGGTATCAACTGCTTACTTATTAAAAGAAAAATTTTATTATAGTTGCATAAAAATATGCCATAAATAAAGCATATTTTACAAATATTTTATAAATTATTGTTTGTGAAAAATTAAAGTTTGTAAAAATGACGCATGTTTATTATCAAATAGATTACAATAAAAAAAA